TCCAAAAGAGGCTCCAAAAGAGGCTCCAAAAGAGGCTCCAAAAGATTTTCTACGGGGATCTTGATATTGAACTTACGAGGTCCCCTCGGCCTCTCTGGGCTCATCCTCCTTGGGCTTATCGCCCTTCTTCTGCTTGTTGCAGCAGAGCCAACCTATGCCGCCCACGGCGACGCACAGCACGAAAATGATTACGGCCCAAAGGCCGGGTGGCACCATCGCCAGATTGCTCATGGCGGCGGAGGAGTTGGAGGGGGTGGAGGAGGTAGAGGTGGCAGATGGCGCGGGCGAGGAGGCCGCAGAGACCTCCTTCACAACGGTGCGAAAAATCGTGGTGGTGGTGGTGGTCATCATGTTGGTGGTGTTACTGGTGATTTTTTCGAAACGAAAACATCTGGGGCCCTGGGGGGTACACGATACTCTCTACCCAGCAGGTTCGTGCCTGCCGAATCTGTACTATTTACGTCCTAACTACGTCTCTAGCTTCCTATTCTAAGACAGCCCGATCTGGTAACGACGGGAAAGTAGCTCTTGCCTTAGGGCTGTCAAGAGAGGACTATGTCGAAGTGCATGGTAAATGTGAGATGTATGGAGTGGCTGTAGAAGGTAGTTTCTAGACTATGTAGTTATGGAAACTGACAAGGGCATTAATTTTATATCGAGAGAATGCGAATAGTATAGAAGCATGGATACATGTATATTTTGCCCTATTCGTACTTATCGCTCGCCGTAAGGGGCCCACGCAGTCCAATATTGATTCTATGCAAAACTCTTAAAATATTAGAAATGATCGCCCCTTTTTAAAAAAAATCACATCTCTCACAACACCTACGCCCGTTAAAAAGCGTTTCCCCCTTTTGCTTGGGGGCAGGCGGGCCATGTCAACCTCTTCCAACATTTCGCAAATTCTCTTTCTCTATGCTTCCCACTGCCTTATACCTGCGATTCTCCTAATTGCAACGCCAAAACAATCTATTCTTCGATATCTGTCAATTCCATGCTCTATCTTCCTGGTATATCGAGCTATACCAGTAGCCACAGCGCTGGGCCCGGGATTCGTATGGTGTGAATGCGGTCGCTTATTCGTAACCATCGTCTTCCAATGCTTCAACTTGCTACTCATCAACCCCAAGAATATCAATGATCTGCCTTCTTGGGGTAGCCAGAGCTTCGTGGCTCGAATTTATGCCGCGACTCGGCTCTTCACTGACCCTCGTGGGATCAACACTCCCTGGCAAATAAAAAACGCCCCGCCACAGCCAGCATATTATAAACGGCGTGATATGGACACGCCTCCTCGAGGTCGCTTTTTGGTTCGTCAGACAGCCATCGTTGTTTGGCAATATTTAGCTCTGGATGTATTTGCTACTCTAGGGTTGCAACAGGCGTTGGAGCAAGAGAAAATTAGGATGTTGCCGCCAGTGCCTCAGTGGGATATATCAACTGAACAATGGATTGAACGTATCATCTCAAACATCATGGCTGGATTTGTGGTGAGCCGAATACTCATCGATTTTCACCATCGTGTCTTTTCGATAATTCTTGTGGCACTTGGACTGGACTCGCCTGAAAACTGCCCTCCGTTGTACGGTAAAGCACTGGATGCCGATACAGTACGGGGCTTCTGGGGGTAAGCTCATTCACAGCAGATTATCTAGGGAAATGGAGTATTCTACTGACATCGATTTTGTAGGAAATTCTGGCACCAATTGCTGCAAAACCCGCTGACTTCGGTCAGCACCTTCATCACCCAAGACCTATTGGGTCTAAAGCCACGGTCTTTGATGCAGCGGTATATGAATGTTTTTGTTGTTTTCTTCTGTTCGGGCGGGCTGCATCTCGTCCTCGATATTGTGCAGGGAATCCCAGCACAGGAATCCGGCGCCATGTTATTCTTTGTCACGGCCCCTCTAGGACTCATGATCGAAGATTGCGTCAAAGCTCTTTGGAGGTCTTTTTTGAAGTCTAATAAGTCAAGCCAAAAAATCCCTAAACCGCTGTGGCAAAGGGCTCTTGGCCTAATGTGGTCTATGGCATGGCTTGGTGTCACCTCAACTGGGTTCTTCTATCCACAGGTGGTGAGGCCGCAAAATCAAGCCTTGGTTCCTTTCTCTGTGGCAGGTCAGATTGGACTGCCTATACAGGCAGGGGTTGTTCTGGTTGGTGGTGCTGTGCTAGCAAAGGTGTTTGAGGTTGAGGTGTGAGGTCATCTAGTATAGATCCAGGGCTACGTTGGTGTAGATATTTTTTGCAATATATGTCAGATATAGTACAATACATATGCGATTATATATTTGTGTATTTATATATATTTTTCGAAATATAACTAAGAGATTAAAACAAAGAAAAGGTCAGTTGTAGATCCAAATTCTAAAAGCAGCGAGGGATACGCACTAAAATGGAAAAGAACGAGGCCGTGCGTGATCGCTGTTGACAGCATGTCTCCCTTCACCCCGCAACTTTTCCCCTTAACCCCAGGCGCATGAAAGCTCCTATGCACCTTGAATTCTGAGATGTCCTGAAGTCAATTGGCCACTTCCCGTATTGCGCCCGGGAAATCATGGACCCTTCGCAGGCTTCGAGCAATGTAACGGGTACGGCCAACGTGATCAAGACGAACGAAGCTTGCGCTGACCATACAACACAGTCGAATATACAGATCCTTCGGGCCTATTTCCGCTCATCCAGCCCGTGATTGAAGCAAAGCTCCCCCTAAAAAATCTTCACTGGAAATCGCCAACCCGCCCCGTGCGATCAATCGAGTCGCTCCGCATCGGCTTCACACCTGCGCAAGAATCAGACGAACGCAAATCATCGAGCGATACGGTCCATGGCACAGTCGCCCATCGCAGACATCAAATCCCCGGTCTACGACAGACCCCATACCTGAAAGTCTACCTCCTACGATGCGACGATAACGAAACCTACAAGACGACCGCCCGACGGAACCTTCGCGAATGGATCAAGACCAACGCGTCTTCCCAAAGCTCGCAGTCCGTAACTACTAGCCAGGAAAAGCATGATGCTTTTGAGTGGCTTATCCTGCACGTAGTACCGGACGGTGATGCTGCGGACAAGGCGGCCACAACTACCTCCAAATGGGGCCGTGGTTCAACTACAGTGCTGGAAAAGGCGAAGGCTGACTTCAATGGGTCGTCCAAGTCTGCTGTAGATCGTGTGGCACAATTGCGTCTTCCGAAGAAGGGGACCAAGTCCCCTGAATTGGCCGAGCAATTGGAGGATTTGATTGATAAAATGAAGAATGGGATTCTAGCCTCTTTTGATTTGCGTGTGGCTCAATATGAAGATGATATAAAGGAGAAAGACTCCCAGCGCAGTTTGCCTGGCTGGAACTTCTGCACGTTTTTCATACTTAAGGAAGGTCTTGCTAGAGGGTTCGAAAACGTGGGCCTCTTCGAAGATGCGCTAGCTGGATACGATGAGCTAGCTGTTGGCTTGGACTCGGCCATTCGAGAACAGCTCGATGGGAGTGGTGATCAACACAGTGGCGCACTCTCGACCATCAGTAAAAATTGGGCTGAGATGGCCAAGAAGGCATTGGAGACTGGGGCTTCCGATGACAGCGACGGCAATGACGGCGACGCGGCTCTGTTTTCCGAGCTTCAGCCGGAAGATTTCCCATTGAATGCCAACAAGATGCACTACCGGGAAATGATCCTGGGGAGCGATATCTCCATCTTCGATTTCCGCACATACATCTTCTCTCGTCAACTGACTCTACTACTCCGAGCCGCGAGAGCTCCATCACTGGCCGGCAGCGAACCTGCGGCAGACGGCAACGCGGCAAAATCGAGCAAGAAGCCCGAAAATCTCATGCTGCTGGCTGAGATTTGTGCAAGAGCAACGGAATTTATCGGTTTAGCTGCACGTACCCTCCGCTATGATCTCGAATGTGGTCTCGCGGAGGTAGGACATGATGATAGGACGGATATTATCAATAATCTAGTCTCTTCGTGGGCATTTTCGGCAGCTTTCCAGATCCTGAGTCAAACCTCTACTCCGACCCTCATGCTCCCCGAATCCTCTCTTCATGCTGTTGCACAATCGAGTGAAGCCGCGGCTGTCACGAGGGCAGATTCTCGTGCCGATGTCCCTCGCCGCTCTAGTTCTCTCATAGGCTCATCTGGTGCCCGACCTCCCCGGCCAGTGACCCAGGATATCTCTGATAATGTGGGCTTGATGCAGCGGCGATCCACTATGGAACACCCGAAGCCTATGCCTATTCCCACACAGAAGACTGGTTCTGAACAGCTATCATCTGGGAGGGCGGAATTGCTTCTTCTAGCTCGGCGGTCCCTCGAAGAGATTGCTAGCAGACGGGGCTGGGCTGAGAACTGGAACAATCTCGGTCTGCTCTTTGATGATCGCCATCGTTCTGGGGCAAGTGACATGGCGGAGATCTCGTTGGACGACGATAACACCGAAGAGTCACAGACACCTTCGAAGAAGGAATCTTCGCTAGTAGGCGTCGATCTTTCTGGTCTCAGGGCCGCGTTGAAGTCAAAAGACGCTTTCCTGTTTCTTTATGAAGATCTCACAGACCGTTTGATCCGCCATCATATGGCAGCCAACCGTGTCAACTCTGTTGAACAGGCTCTGGCTGAAATCGCTATTTTGCGATATCGCCGGAAAGACTACGAGTCTGCTGCTTCCTATTTCCATCGGATGGCCCCCTTCTACGGCTCTAAGTACTGGATTGTTCTAGAAGGAAGCATGTTGGAACTCCACGCACGGTGCTTGAAGGAGCTCAAACGGAACGAAGATTACGTTCGGATGATGATACGGTTGCTGTCCAAATTTGCTACATATGCGCAGGCGCAATTGTCAGCCAGGCAAAAGTCTGTGGCTGGCTCAATTCCTTCTACTGAACAGGAAATATTAGATAGACATGTCCGCGATTTGTTCGAAGCAGCTGATGCTCTTCAAAAGGATATCCCTGCTTCCTTGACAGACTTCTTTGCCGACTTCCGTGTCGACCCAGCCATCCGTCTGTACGACAACAAGGATGGGTTCCAGATCCAATTGTCTTTGCGATTCCTTTTGGGCCAGCAGATTGAGATTGACACCCTCAAGGTTCGGCTGGTCAGCGCTAACAGCGCTCAGAATTCTGAGCACTGGATCGAGAGCTCAGCTAAGTTCGTGGTAAAATCATCATCAACACAGATTTTGATTGACTCCTCGGTGAGTACTCGTAGGATAAGTTCCGCTACCAGTAACTAACTTTTATGCAGACTATACTTCAAGGCAAGTACTTCATTGACCGGCTCGAGATGAGAGCTGGCAATCTTGTCTTTAACTTCAATGGCGGGCATGACTCCACCCTTCCAGTTGGCTTCCGGGAAACAGAAGACTCAGAGGAAATCGACAACCAGCCTTACATCTATTGCTATCCTCCGGCGGAAGCCCTACAGGCGAAGATCGTGTCACCGCATCTTATTAACCTCCAGGCCATGCGGACGCTGGAGCTGGAACTTGACAGCGGAAGAAATGATATCAAGAGTGGCACCATCCGTGTCCGGCCAGGCACTGCAGGCCTGCGGCTCCGCCTTGCAGAAACTGAGGTTGTGGATGGCAAGATCGAGATAGATGCCAGCCACGATTTGGGCGTTATCGAATTCGCGCAATTGCCGGCGCGGTCATTCATCCGACTGCGCATCCCCTACACTGTCGAGGAGGCGTTTTCGACCCTCTCAGCGCGAGCAGAGATCGGGTACGAGACCGAGCAAGGTCGATTCGCTTCCTCGGCATCGTTCGATGTTGTTTCAACACTACCTATATCGGTCAACGTCCAGGACATCTTCAAGGATGAACTACTATTCTCACGTTTCACCATCAGCCCGGCCATGCTTATCCCGCTTCGTATTATGAACTGCAGTTTACCAAGCTCAGATATCTACAACGTGCAATCCAGCATCACCGGCCCTGTCGCCCTTGATGTCTTCCCTAAGCAGCCCGCGTCTCTTCTTTACAAAATTCGCCATACTGAAGTCAACCCGGCCGCATCAACGCCGCGTAGCCTACAACTGAGCATTGACTTCACATGTGTTGACGATGAGTGTCTCGATGCAATCGAAAAGCAATTTGCTGCTTCTATTGACTCCAGCCCATTCCGCCAGTACGCAGCGCTGCTCACCTCGCACATTGTCAGCAGTTTCCGCGCACAGCTATCCACGAATGACATGGAAGCCATTGGGCTCATTCGAGAGGTAAACATGCTGTCCTATCAGACTGTGCGATGGGATGATCTGCTCGGAGCTTTGAAAGTACCAGGCGAAGATGTGCGACAGTGGCTCCAGGAGTGGCACAAGGTAAAAACCAACTTGAGTGTTCCCAGCTAGCTATTTTACTCACATATGAAACAGAACAACTCCACCATCCCCCTCCCCGCACAACCAACCATCCCAACCCGCCGCATCATCATCCCCGTCGACGTCCCCGAGATCCAAGTCGTCCACACAGCCGACCTCCAGCTCCAGCCGAAACCCACCACCGACCCAGGTCCCTCCACCCACGCCGCCGTCGGTCAGATGATCACCGCCGAGCTATGTCTCCGCCACACGCGACGCTGGTGTTCCCCCGCGACCCGTGAAAACGCCGACCAGCCCCTCGAATGCTCATACGAGATCCACGCCAATCCAGAACAGTGGCAAATAGGTGGTCGTCGCCGAGGCAACTTCCTCGCGCGCGACGGCGAAACTACCCGCTTTACCGTCCTACTACTCCCCCAGAAACCAGGCCATCTCCTTCTCCCGAGTCTTGAGATTCGTACCTTCCTCCCATCGGCACCTCAGCTCCCGACGTCGCCGCCTGTGGCTGATGCCACTGGTTCTATGGCGCCGGCTCGTCGCTCGATCCCTTGTGAGGTTGACTACCGTAACCATGGCGAGACGGTTCTTGTTCTCCCTGATTTGAAGAAGACGACTGTTAATCTTAGTGCCGCTGGCGGTAAGCATGCTGCTGGTGGGGGATCTTGGCTCGTTGATTCGGAGCGGCGGACGGAGCAGGTTCGTTGATTTGATAGTTCTTTTCGGAACTGGTGGATGATTGTACGTATAATGAGTCGTATATAGGCTCGCTGAGGGTACTTGTTTGTATGTAGACCTACGATTCATGAATCCTTTATTCTTTTAGGAACCCTTTAATTGTACTATGTTGTATGTATAATGATATACCTCAGGAATACAATTCGCCATGGTTAGCAGCGCCAAGGCTGTCTAATTAGGCTTAGTCTTGCTCGATTCTAAGACCTACCGCCCCAAAATGAAAGTCATACAATGGCGAGAATGGACATAACCCATAATGCCAAGACCCTCAACACTTCAGAAAATCCCTTCGAAACTTGAGGGATTTGCTCTCCGAAAGATCCTCCGATTATAACGGGGTTTGACTGTACAGGGATTTTAGAGACCCTCACCACGTAACAAAGCCCTTCGAAACGAAAGGGATTTGCTCTTCGACAGATTCTTCAATTTGAACGGGGTTTGACTGTATAGGGATTTGAGTGGCTTCGGCTGGGGCTTCCGCTGACACTTGTCCCGATACAGGCTAGTAGGTAGACGCTAATATGGATTAGTCCCATCTCTTAATTACTAGTGTCGATGTTCAGGTCGCTTCGAGCACGCCCACATATGCCTTTTAATACCGTCTTTTATGTGAGGTTAAATGATTGATATACTCTCAAGTAATAGATAGAAAAGTCGGTCAATTTCTTATAAATCCAGTGCAACCCTTGGAATATTGAAAAGTCCGAGATTGGGTCCAGATCAGATCTTATCTAAGGTGGCAAGGTGTCCACGGATGATAGGCCCAGGGGGGAACTAAAGAATTAAACATCTGAAAGTAAAAAAATTAACGTTTGTGTTTTTTTCAAAAAGGGGGAGTGGGGCCCCAACAAAACCACAAGGGTCCCAACAAGCGGGTAGAGGCATTTTTATACTATGGAGTACTATGGAGTACTATGGTCAGTATTTTTCATTTCATTTTCAATTTTGATAGTGTTTCTCTTCAAAATGTTTTAAAGTATTTATAGATTATCCTGTGCATTCTCAACTTCCACGTCAAGTCAAGTCTATATATGAATACAGTAGGCAAATATTGTTGAGGCCCGTAAGCCAACACCGAACTACACCCGGAAAGCTGAGAAGAACGCCGAAAAGTAAAAAGTGGATCACATGTCCCTTGCGCATACCACTGCCGAGCTATCTCCAGCTCTGGGGGATTACATATTGACTTACAGAAGAATTGTACACATGTACCCGAGGGGTTTCGGGATCTGGATACGTAGTCTCCAATTCCGCAAACAAACACCAAAAATCAAACGCCATTTGCCACACGATATCGCATATCAGATTCGGTGGGAGATTTCTAGAATCCACAGTCGTTTACTCCGTACTCCATGTACGAGAACGACCCGAGGCAAGTCGATCACTTGGATCTATCCACATACGCCTTCACCGTATTCTCGGCATGTGAAAGTGACAGCTATCCCAGGAGGGGAACACCCAGACAGAGTCTAGATCACATCATCAGGCCACTACTACAACACTATAATAGCATGTAATTTGCAAATGAAAGTGTTGGGGCGAACGGGATTAATCGGTGGAAAGGCGGTGGCTGTGAAGAAAAGAAACTTGAAGCGTATGTTGTATAGAAGTATGGAGTATAACATACATAGTACAATGAGATAGGAATATGAGATAGGTTGACATATCAAAAGATCAGCCCTATTCTGACTATTCCGGACAGTTCGCGCGAAAATTCAGCTGTCGAAGGCGAACTTCGGTGGATCTGAATATTGGTAATTTTCAAAACTCCATACGGTTGGATTGGATCTGGACTATGGGGTTGTAGTGGCGGTATGCAAAATTACCCCCGGTGCCATGGGATTCTTATCTTTTTTTTTTTCTTTCAATTTTACCGTTGGATTTTTCGGTTTCTTTTTGAAAGAGGACTGTTCCTTCTCTCGTCTTTGTTCTTCATTCTTTCTTTTGTGCTAGTCAATTGCCTGCTTTCTCGTTGGCTCTTATTCAGAACGGGGCATTTGCTTCGATCTGCTTCATTCAACCCCCTTGTGCAACCCTCCCCTCCCAGGAAACTCAAAATATTGTTAGTAGCAACAGCTCACAGCTCGGAGAATCTCAACTAATGCCCCATCACAGGTTCTTTTCCTTTTGAAACTCTTGTCCTTCGTTTCATTTCTATAGAACGGGATACCTTGGAAGTATACCCACCGTGACTTCGGCATTGAACACCATCAGCCTCAACACACCCAACATGTCGTCTACCGCACTCCCCAAGCGCGTTGCGCTCAATCGCAACCCCGCTACAGAGTCCTCAGCGACTAGCTCTATCTCGGCCTCGCCCTTCGACAGCCCTCGCCAGTCTCCCTCGTCTACCTCCCTTTCCTCGATGGCTTCAGAGCAGGAGGCCAGCAAGATGCTTGACACTTATGGCAATGAGTTCAAGATCCCAGATTATACCATCAAGCAGATCCGCGATGCCATTCCCGCTCACTGCTTCCACCGCTCCGCTGCCACCAGTTTGTACTATGTCTTCCGTGACATGGCCATCTTGGGATCCGTCTTCTACCTCTTCCACAACTATGTCACCCCGGAGACTGTCCCCTTCATGCCGGCCCGCGTGGCTCTCTGGACCGTGTACACCATTGTGCAGGGTCTCGTCGGCACCGGTGTCTGGGTTTTGGCCCACGAGTGCGGCCACCAAGCCTTCTCCCCCTCCAAGGTCCTGAACGACACTGTTGGCTGGATCTGCCACTCCCTCCTGCTCGTTCCCTACTTCTCCTGGAAGATCTCCCACGGCAAGCACCACAAGGCCACCGGTAACCTGGCCCGCGACATGGTCTTCGTTCCCAAGACCCGTGAACAGTACGCCTCTCGCGTCGGCAAGACCCTCCACGAGCTCGGCGAGCTGTGCGAGGAGACTCCCATCCTGACTGCCGCCAACCTTCTGGCCCAGCAGCTCTTCGGCTGGCCCCTGTACCTGCTCAACAACGTCACCGGCCACAACAACCACTCCAAGCAGCCCGAGGGCCGCGGTGTTGGCAAGCACAACGGCTGGGGCGGTGGTGTCAACCACTTCAACCCCTCTAGCCCTCTGTACGAGGCTAAGGACGCCAAGCTTATTGCCCTGAGTGACCTGGGTCTCCTCCTCACCGGCACCGGACTGTACTTCATCGGCACCAACTTCGGCTGGCTGAACCTGCTGGTCTGGTACGGTCTTCCCTACCTGTGGGTGAACCACTGGCTCGGTAAGTTTTTAGGCGAAAAAGAATCAGTTCTCTCGCAACCTTTTGCTAACAACATCCCTCGCAGTTGCCATTACCTTCCTCCAGCACACCGATCCCACCCTCCCTCACTACCAGCCCGAAGTGTGGAACTTTGCCCGCGGTGCTGCCGCTACCATTGACCGCGACTTTGGCTTCGTCGGCCGCCACATCTTCCACGGTATCATCGAGACCCACGTGCTGCACCACTACGTCAGCAACATCCCCTTCTACAACGCCGACGAGGCCAGCGATGCCATCAAGGGCGTCATGGGCAACCACTACCGCACCGAGGCCCACACCGGCTGGACTGGTTTCTTCAAGGCCATGTGGACTGCTGCCCGTACCTGCCACTGGGTTGAGCCCACCGAGGGTGCCACTGGTGAGAGCCAGGGTGTTATGTTCTACCGTAACACCAACGGCATCGGTCTTCCTCCTGCCAAGATCGCCAAGGCTCAATAGATACTGAGGCCTTGAGTGCTGGTTCTGGTTCGGTTCTGATGATGTTTTCTTTTTTCCTCTCACATTGTTCTGATTCGATTTAAAGCTTTGTTGTCTTATTTTGTATACTTTGCGTAGATATACACAAGGTCAAGACGATTTTTTCTTGAGATTGGGTGGGAGTCATAGATCAAATTTGATGCTTTTCTTTTTCTCATCTTGACGCTCAAGTTCTGTTTTCATGACTGTCGTTGTCTCGCATCTTCTGAAGATATTGCATCCCTTTACCTTGTGTCCTTAGAAGCATTATGCTGTTTCTTCGGTGATGTTTGAGCTCATGTTAGAAGGACGTTGGGGGAAAGAAAGAAAGGAACTTGATGAAAAGGGGAGAAAGATGACGGTCGCTGTTAATTTAGAGAGATGTCCATATATATGATTGTGGTTAATTTGAAGCGTGTTCTTCCTTTCCTCCCTCTTCCTTACCTACTTGCATCCAAAAATGCCTAGGGCAAATGATTGATAAGGAATGTGATTCGAGAAAACCAGAAAGTGGTCTTAGAGCAATATGTAGAGTCAAACCAAGAGAAATGCAATGGACAAGACAAATGACATTAGTTTAATATACGTAGCAGCATTGGTCAATGCTCCCACACCAAATTCCAAGTTTATAGTCCTGTTCCACGGGAGCAGGTTTTAAGTCACACGACTTCATTCTTTTCCCCTCAAAACAGGATATTTACATGCAAGGCCCTGTAGAACACACACCTCAGCTTGTGATCTTCCAATCTCCTCAAGATCAGGACACCCCTAAAATGAGCACTTCACACATGACTATTTTTTACTTGGATGGTCATATTATGCAATAAAGGTATAGAGAAAAATCTCAAACGCTGTTGGGTATATCATATTTCTGTCGCTTTCTAGTCTGAGACGAACACATACAAACACAGTATGTCAAACTATTTAGGGTAGATCATCACAGTTGAGACTTTCCAAGAGGGGCTGTAGCTTTGGTAGGCAAGAATGAAGTCAGTCATATATGACATCAGACAAATCATTCACCATGACTCGTACTTCTCAAGCCACCCTTCCAAATTTCAAACTCTACCTCGCCACTTCTTCTACTTGACTGGCCCTTTCTTGGTGCATCCTTCGGGCCCGCCGTCCAGGGCGCAAACACAAGTTTCATGGTCCTCCGCGTAGTGGATTCCGAGCCCGGAGCGGGCCGGTGGTTCTGCAAGTCAGAGACTCGGTTTTTGAGGTAAGGGGCAGGCATGGCTATTGAGTCCGGGTCTCGATAGGCGTCTGCATTGCCTCCATTTTGAAACTGGGAGGATTCCTGTGTGGATGCCGGATATGCATGCTCCCCCATGGAGACACCTACAGCATGTGATTCTTCCTTTTTCAGCGCAATTCGACAAGCGATCTGCGTTGACCAGACGAATCCCAGTGCCGGGTTCTTCAAAGATCCACTCTCTGGATACGCGCCATCTCCCCAGCCAGAGTAGAAGCGCTCCTGGTGAGCGACGTTCAACATGCTATTGCGTACTCGAGGGGCAATCAGGTACGAGCCGTCGAAGTTTTTATCGCTTGGTGCGTGGTATGGCGATGAGGAGATAGCAGGAGAGGAGGATGGTGGCTGCTGGCTATTTCTAGTAGCTAACTGTTCAGTTCGGGATTTTGGGAAGGGGGAGGCAGGGCCTGATCCAGAATCTGCTGTTTGACTCGACATGGACGGAAACCCCGTCCGTGGGTTTGGTTCGTTGGTTTTTATAGATTCGAAACGGTCGGAGACTTGGTTCGCTAGCACGATGGCTATGTCTTCCTTTACGGCGAGGTTGCGTAGTAGATGGCCCAGTTTTGCGAGCTGGGATGATCGTTTGGCGAGGGCTTGGATGTTGTTCGATGCGTGTTCAGCGCGGTAATTGGATGTTACTGAATCGATGATGACCAGACCTATGTTATAACGCTCGATCGCGACGGGAAGATGGAAATTCAAGATGTGGTCCTGTGTCTCCAGGTCCATGGCATTGATGGACAGGATATCCTCCAGCGAGGGTGCCTGCTCGGCGGGGAGTGTTGAGAGGACAGGATGGCATTCTAGGAGCTGTGAGAGTCGGGGCGTAGATAGTGGGTGTTCTGTCGATATGTATATGGCACGCCGTCGTAGCCCCTGTGGTTTGGGTAGCTGGACGGCTAGACAGAGGCTTAGAAGGAACTGGGTCTTGCCGCTTCCACTGAACATTGATCCACATGTCAGACTGACCTGCTTGTCCAACCGATAAGACTTGAATGAAGATAAACGCCTGCAACATACCTCTCGCCCGTAACTTCTGTGACATACCCGGTCGGAATTCCACCTCCTAGCAGTGCATCCATCGCGGGGTCAAGAGTGCTTATAGTGTTCCATTGTGACGTGCGCTTCGTCGAGGAGCCAATTGTCCTGCTCGCTGCATCGGGGTTTATACTAGAGCTAGGCCCATCGCTAGCCCCTGTATTTGTCAGTGGCTTTTCGAAGCCGACATCAGTGTGCAATGCTTCGACAATGCAGGAGGAGAGCCGGCGAACGTCTGCGGGAGGTACGCGGGCACGTTTCGCGATCTCGAGAGAGTCAAGGGTAATCACGTCGACAGTGGTGACTTTAGCTCGTTCAAGTGGAGGGAGGATGTGTGCAAAGGGCTTCGTTACAAATCCAGGTAGAACTAATAGAAGATCCATAGGAAAAGCGCAGTCGATATGGGAGTTGATGTTGCGACTCTAGATTGTTAGAGGCGTCTGAGCCAATCACAATGGAAAATAATAATACTTTGTCATTGGTCGATTCGAGCCATCGACGTGGATGCCCCACGTGACCTCCCAAGATCGTAGGGCCAATTAGAGGATGTTGAAAAGACCCACACCGTATAACCTCAATTTCTGACGTTGAAAAGAAAAAAAATAGATAGCTTCTCTATGATTGAGCGTGTCATCCTTTATGCAGGGGCCATGCTAATCTTCTCTGTATATTTTCAGTTGATCATATGTCCCGAAGGGCGAAAGGAATACCCTTAAAGTTCAATAGAACCTCACTTTTCGGCATAATTACACCGCCCGGTTGTATACGAAAGATTGCCAGGTTGGTCAACTAGAGCATGAAATCAGAGTGGTGCTGCATCAAAGTGGGACTGTTGATGTGGCTGTTTAAGAACTTCTAGGGATTACTATATAGCTCACAGACTATTCCGAGTTGAATGTCCTGAGCGCTCATTTGCATCCGGAAAGTCAGCAACGTTTCCAGCTTGTAGAGCAGTCCGTCGAGAAGTGTACGCACGTAGGAATCAAGGATCTTGCGAGCAACTTTAGCACATGGCTTGGTCTTATTTGAATACTTTAAGACAAAAATTGGGCTGATCTACAGAGTATTATATCCCTTTTTTTCTGTTCTTGCTAGCATTGAATAGGAGTGAGAGAAAACAAGCCTCATAAGGAAAGCCAAAACAT